TTCGTGCACAGTGAGTTACAGGCAATTAAAGGCAAGCAATGCCACTTGCGTTTCTTTTGGAAGCCACTGTATATATAAATATAAAAAGACTTTTCGCAAAAAAATAAAATAATATAATATAATGTCATTGATTATATCTTCGGTTGTATTTATTAAAAGTGTTAGTAAAGAAAAGTTCCTACAGGCATAGCATATAGTAGAATAGATTATGATGAATTTATCAAAATTAATTTTAAAGCGTTCAGATATAATAATAAAATCATGATTCAAGAAATAAAAAAAAATTCGATTATGTTAATGATTGGATGTTTTTTAAATTTTAAATCTGAATTATTTGTAATGAGTTTTTCTTTTTTATAATTTCTTTTTGATAAAATAACTTAATCAATTAAATGCTAATATTTAACATTATTTAGGTAATTGTAATTCAAGCAACAACCTTGGACCTAAAAACCTTAAAAGAGGAATCTGATATGTATGATTTACCGATCACACCATTATTTGATTCTTTTACTTCTTCATGTAAAATAGTGGCAAAGCAAAAAGATGAATAAAGTCAAAGTTACTTTATATTGGAAAGAAATGTCTATAATTCTTTCATCACAACAATGAATAAACTCATGATTTCTTGCATATATATAACATCAAATGGTAAACATTCTGCAGCAGAATCAACAAAGTCTTTAGCAATATTCTCAGTGGCGAAAGAATTATTCATTAGAATAAGTCTTATACAAATTATATATTCTGAGATCGAATGGTTTTTTCCTAATACTATGATACAAAAATCTGAAAAAAGCAAAACCCCCCAAAACGGAAAAATTTGTTAAAACTAGAATAACAAATTATTAATAAAAAACAAAAAACAAACTTATCATCTTTAACGCAATTAATTTCAAATTTAACTGTGACAATATCAAATTCACTTCTATTTACTTCAAATTTACTGTCTTCGGAAGAATCAAGAAAAAAATCAAAGATGTTAATCCAAGTATTTGACCAAACAAACGAAAAAGATAAAACACCTATACATAAAAATAAAGAAGACAAAAATCGATAAAATAGCTATTAAAGTAATGAAAGTAATGAAAGCAACAACAATATTATGTAAATTTTTTTTTACATAAAAAAAATTCTTTCCCTTTTTTTTACTATTATAAATATTAAAAAAAAAATTCATGTTCATTATAAAAAAAAAATGAAATTTTTGTAAATATTTAGTCTAAACAAACAAAAAAATATAAAAATTAAATACTTTAGCAAATATAATAGCTTTTACTATCTTATTATATGATTTAATATGATAAAGTTTTTACAAATTAATAAATCAAATCTTTACGCATATCTATAAGTATAGAACTCTAACGGTTAAATCTTTTAAAACTAAAGGTGATAAAAATATCATTTAAATTAAAAGTGATTCTAAAAATGAAAAATTTTCAAAATCTTGATTTGTTTTTTTAATTAAAAAGTTTATAAAGTAACATTGATTAAGATAATCATTATTTATATAGAAAAAAAACTATAATAAATATTCTTCTAAAATAAATTAAAATTCGAATTGACTTAATTTAAAAATTTAATCATATATCTAAAAAAAAAAATTTAATTAACTTCAATAAGTAAATAATTTTAAATAAAAAAATTTTGAATATACTTCTCTTCAATAAATCAATCATTAAATGATAAACAATTAATCAAAATCTATATGAAAAAAATGTATAAAAAGGATTTTTTTCTAATTAACAATTAAATTACTAAAAAAAATTAAACAAAAAAAAAAATAAAATAAACCAACAATAAAAAAAATAATTTTATCAAATATTTATACGATATAAATAATAAAAATGAATTACCAAATAATAAATTATCCAATTTCTTCTAATTTTGTATTGTCAAACTCTGAAATCTGCTCTATACAAAATACAAACGATCCCTTATTTACAACATTAAACGAAACGAAATAAATCAAAATCTACCAAACGCACCATTAAATAACCAAACCATTAATTGTTCAAGTCAAAGTGATACATCATTTATATCATGGCGTCCATCTAAAAAATTGATAGATTTACAAGAAGAATTCATTAACAAAATCTTATATGACTATCCCTCAACCCCTTGTGCTTACTGTTCAATACTAATGACTAACTCATCTATCAAATGGATAAACTATAATCAAAATGAAATATACACACTAACAATAGCTTTTCCAAAAATCCAATTATCCTTACGTTACAACAACAGAGGACAAAGAAAGTTGCTGTCTGCTCCTCATGCAAAACTTCAAAGAATCGCAAATTTCCACCCATCTTAAGCCAAATACCTGAAGAAATTAACGCTGTTCCTATGGTATATCAAAAACAATTATCACCTATCCACATGAGTTGTTTTTTAGGACGTGCTACAAATTCAAACCCCTATACAAACTATCGTCATCTACAAAGTTTCATCGGATTATCAAAAAATCAAAACGCTTTGGAATTACACTCGGGATTGGAGCATTTTTCAATCAAAATGAACCACCAAATTGGTTTCACCAAACGTTAATAAATGCAAGTCAATGGCTAAAACAAAATAATCCAATATTTAGAGAATACATAAAAGCAAACTACATAATGCAACCTTCACCAACGATGCAAATCCCAAAACCATATCCTACTGCCAAACCATCTAAAGATTACACACATAATAAAAATTCAAAGATATCCCCTACCAATTCAAATGAATCAGAAGTACCTTAAATAATCATACCGAACAATGATTTTCCAATACAAATACATAACGATAAACACTTATTGGCAGGATTCATCAAATCAAATGATGATTCCACGCTACCAATAGCATATAATAACCCAGATCTAGAGGCATTATTATTTTCAGACATATTCACCACAGGATATGGACACTATGAAAGCATAAAAAAGCCTCTAGAATTTAAGCAAAATACCGATAGTTATGGAAAATATGTGAAATTGAGGATGTTATGCCCGGACCCAAGATTCAAATTACATTGGTATTGGCCACACTGGTCATATCTAAATATAAAAAAAAAGCTTAACTATCAAAATCAAAATAGAATTCTAAGGCAAAAAAACATACCTCGTAACTCACATCCAACTAGAACAGACTTAATAGCAACAAGAGTCTACACAATCAGACCGATAATGAATGAAACAATAATAACTACCCTACCATCTCATGTTTAAACGTCTGAACCATTTTTTTAAAAAAAACAACAAGTTAATACAATGCTTCAAGCTTTCGGTTTACCACAAATTTTTTATACAATAACAATTGCAGAAAGCAAATGGAAACACCTAAAAATAATCTTAGAAAACACAGATATTAAAGATACATTACCAACCAATAGACCATTACATGTTTATATCCATTATCATAACAAATTGACTAACCTACGCAATAAACTTTGGAAATCCCCAGAAATAGTACAGTGGGGAGAATGGTTGCATTACTTCGAAAGAGACGAATTCCAAAATAGAGGAACCATCCATACTCACAGATTCGCTTACACTGAAAAAAAAATTCCAGAATTAATAACATTAAACACAATATGCGCTGACATACCTGACCTAACACTAGAACCAGAACTCTATCAACTTGTATTAACATATCAAATACATCATTGTAATATAAACAAATGCAGAGGACCAAATACCGATAACCAACCATGTAAAAAAGGATTCTCACAGCCTCTATCAAACCACACACATTGCAAAACAAACTCCAAACAATATATGTATAAAAGAACAAAAGAAGCTGACCGTTTGGGTAGTCCCATATCACTCAGAAACATTAATGCTATGCGAAGGACATATAAATTTCCAATATATAACTACCCTTGGATTCGGAAAATACGTTACAAAATATGCTACTAAAGCTGAACCCACTGAAATATTTGATATCCGAAACGAAGACTCATACCGAAAACATGTACAAGCAAGAAAATTAGGAGTAATAGAATTAATGATATTACTATTACAATACCCATAACAAGATCTTCAGCCGCTGTTCAATACTTGCCATCAGCTCCTTCCGAATTAAGAATAAGATCAATAAAACCAATTTACAAACAAACCCTAGAACAAGATATAGAAAATGAAAATGACGAAAATGAGAATGACGATGATAATCCCTACTTCGATGACGCAATAGATAAATATTTTGAAAGACCAAACAATCCAATATTTAAAAATCTCTCATACCCAGACTATTTTAGGAGTTACACCACAGGAAATAAACAACCAAGAGCAAACTCAAAGCTTTACTGAACAATAGATCAAAAAAAAGATACGTAACGAAAAGAACAAAACCCCTTCTCCTAAGATTCACAAATTACCAAATTGATGATAACGAAACATATCATCATGAAACAACCAGCATACAGTGAAAACGATTTACTCACTGGATGCAACAGCTTCAGAGAAAGATTCAAAATGCTATACCCAATAAGATATGAACAAGCTGTAACGAGATTAAAACAAAGCTCGATAACTAATAAAATACAACCTACAAAAGAGTGATCGAATCAGTCCTATCAGATATTAAAAAGAACGAACTGTGGAATGTCATATACGAACAGCTAATTTCGCTAGAAAAACCAACTACCTAGAAAGTTTCTACCCTAACCCTTGACGATGACCAATACAAAATATATAATATACTAACTAACACTTGGGGATTCGAAAATGAAGATAAACACCTGTACTTCTTTATGACAGGCTCCGCTAGAACTGGAAAAACGTTCATGACTCTAAAAGTAATAAACATGTTAAAAAGCAAAAAAATAGAATACCTATTAATGGCACACACTGGAGTAGCAGCTCAAAATGTCAGTAGAAAAACTATACACTCAATCCTAAGAATAAGACAAATAGGCGAAAATTACCAAATTCTATCATTCAATGACGAAACTTCAAGAATCCAACTTACAAAAATTAAAGCTATAATAATAGATGAAGTTTCGATGGTATCAGACAAGCTCTTTTCATTTTTAAGTAACACATTCAGTATGTTACATAAAAATCACAAAATCTTTGGTGGCATCCCAACTTTGGTAATTGGAGACCTCGCACAATTGCCACCCGTAAATGGGGAACAGGTCTTCTTCTCACAAGTCTGGAAACCCTTCTTTCCCTTATTCCTAACAAAACCACATCGACAGAGAGACGACCTAAAATATTATCAACTCCTTCAAGAATTAAGATTCGGTATTCTATCAGAAAATTCAAAAAAATGATTAACGAAAAAATAAGAACATCAAAAAATCAAAATGCCATTATAAACTCTACTCACCTTGTCAGACTCCGTGAAACAGCGGAACAAATTAATATACTAATTTGTCGAAGCTTACCATTCGACGACCAATGTTGCGATCCAATAACCTCAAAAGCAATAGATAGCTTAAATTTCAAGATTCAAAATAACCAACAATCCTTCAAGCATTATAATAATCTTCCCAAATCTATCACAATCTAAGAAGGAGCAAGGGTAATGTATCTAACAACAAACTAATAGAACATGGCATCTGTAACGGAACAATAGGAATTATAACGAAAATAATAAATGAAGATAACATAGAAGTCACCTTCCCAATGAACGCGAACATCAGTAAAATGAATCTCCAAAAAAATACCATGAACTTCGAAGTAAATGGCACACACGCCTCAAAAAACCAATATCCATTACAAAACACGTTTGCCTTAACAGTACATAAGACCCAAGGCATTACAATACCACACACTACGTTAACAATAGATGAAAACATGTTCGCCCCAGGTTGGCTACTTGTTAATGGTTGCTTGAATTTCCATTTCAAATTATTGTTTTTGTTGTTCAGGTAAGTAAACAAAAAAGTAAAAACTGTCACCACCTTTCCTATAACAAAAAAAAAGATAAAAATTAAATTACCGCACATAGAAGCCCGTCCTTAAGAAAAAAGAAAAAAGGAAACGTTAACTACGTTCCTAAAACACGAAAAAATTAAATATAAATATAAATAAAATAACAAACTTAGTATTGTTAATATAGGTACCATTCGTTCGGGTTCGTCCGTTCGTCATTTTTTTAAAAAGGAGATATGAAAAAAAAAATGATAAACTGACGAAAATATAGCAACGTATGATAACATATAATTATTTCCATACAGAGAAGGTGGTAATTACGCAGATTCTGAGTTTAAATTGTGATTTTCGTTCAATTGCTAAAAATATATATATATATGTTGTAGCCCAAATGCGTTAATGTCCGAAATGATCATTTCGGATATCCCAAATCGGAATGCGCATTTGGGATATC